GAAATTCTAGAACTAGAAAACCTTGAATTACGCCGTCTTCGGTCTGATTTAAGCATGGTATATAAAATCATACATTGCAATGTCCTACCTGTCAATGAATACTTCAGCTTCAATCATAACAACACAAGAGCACACAATAGATACAAACTCAAAGTTAACCGCACCAAACTTGATTGCAGGAAATACGACTTCAGCAATAGAGTGGTCAATGTCTGGAATACTCTACCCGACTCTGTAGTTTCTTCCCCAAACCCCAAAAACTTTAACCTTAGACTGTCTACTATTGACCTCACCCCTTTCCTAAGAGGTCTGTAGGGGGCGTGCATAAGCGCACCAACGTGCCTACCGTCCCTGTCCTATTGTTTCTCTTATTCTTCTTTTATTTTTCTTATATGTACCCATTTCATGTATTCACAACTATGTATACACTTATACTTATTATCTTGTAAACAATTGGCAAATCAAATAAATAAAATAAAATAAAATAAATAAATAAATAAATAAATAAATATGAAAGAGAGTTCCAACCTAGAAGAAAATCTTCGGCTTGCTGGAATGGCTTGCCTTCAGAAGTTGTGACTGCTCCATCACTGGAGGTTTTTAAGAAGAGATTGGACAGCCATTTGTCTGGTATAGAGTCTCCTATTTAGGCAAGGGGTTGAACTAGAAGGTCCCTTCCATCTCTGTTGTCCTGTACTCTATATTCTGAGAGATATGTTATGCTTAAGGAAAATGTTACGAGACCTGCTGTGAATTAAATTCTGTTGATACTTCTGTTGATAACAGAATCGCAGGTGAAGTATGTCAGAGTGGGATGCAGGAGACCTCAGGAGGCTCTGCTCAGGAGCTAAAAATCCTCTCTGCCAAATTTAAAGCAGGATGTTCAGCCCCACGGGGGAGGGACAGTTATGCACAACCCTCTTGCGGCCTCTTTTCTTTACTGCTCTATCTGCTCAGGAGCTGAAAATCATCCTTGCTGAAATTCAAGCAGAATTTTCAACTCTGGATCAAAGAGAGTCTCTCCCACCTGCCTGAAGCATCCCTCATTCCTTACCTTGTTACATTGTGTCTCTGCTTGGATTTCAATTCCCTCATCTATGGGAGCTGGCTGAAATAGCTGCCTGCCAAAGGAGTTCAGCTCCCTTCCATGAATGGAAGGGAACTTTTCTGGTAGCATGCAAGAATAGAGCTCAAAACTTCAAGATTTGTGCTCCATTTCTGCACCTGCACAAAGGAGTTCAGCTCCACTCATCAGGCAGTTATTTCATCTAGTGTCCAGAGGCAAGAGGGAGTCACAGCAACCAGCAGCAGTTTGCAGCCTTCCCTGCCAGCATCCCTATTGACATTCTGGGGAAGATAATTGGAGAAGATTGCTAATAGTGATCACATTGCTTCACAATCAGTTGTAAGTGTAAATAGGTTGCCAAGCACCCAGATTGCAATCAAATAACCACAGGAATGTGGTGCATTGTTTTGTGATGACTGAAAGTGCTTTATAGGCCATAGAGACTGTTACAATTCTGTACTATTATCAAATGAATAGTTATAGGTCAAGAACTATTTTATTGTATATGCTTTGCAGTGGGGATGAAAGAGAAAAATATTAACTAGCTTCTCAGATTAGTTCTATTTTTAAAGGAATTCTCATTACCATTGAACAATGCTTATAATTTGTAAATTTGTGTATTAGTGTTGGACAAATAAATGATGCTTGAGTATAAAATGTCTTGCGAGCTGTAATTCTATAAGTCTTCCCTTCTTTTTTTTAAAGATCAAAAGCTTTTAATCTTAACAATGTAGTAGGGTTAAAGATGAGTAACTCTATTAAATGAAGAAAATGTATTGGAAACTATTAAAATATCCATTTAGACTCATTACATCATGCTGTTGCTATGGTATGTGGCTATGTTAGTGCCTCAAAATCCATAGTTATTTCCTCAGAATCCCTGCAAATAGATTATGTCAAGTTATTACCATATTTTAATGTATAAATCAGCAGTTTGTAAACTTTAATGTGTATCAATAAAAATAAAAATGAATTGTGTTTAATTATATTTTGATTTATTTTATTTAAATTAAATACAACTTTTGTTTTGGTATTCCCAATTCTTTGCCTTGGTCACTTTTCATAGTTCAACCTCCAGAACGCTATCAGAGTCCAAAAGTGATTCTCAGCTTGAAAGAAGCTGGTCATTCCTGCTCTTAAGAACTCTCCTCAATCTGGGCAGTGAGATGTTTAGGTCAGCTCTGGAGTGCTTGGTGCTTGTTACCTAGTTGGGTTATGAAATGTCTGCAAGCAAACTACCAAGCTCGAGAGCACCAAGGACTCTACAATTAAACCCTGAGCTACATATATTCTTTTCTATTGAGGTAAAATCTTAAAGTTATTATCAAAAGTTACACTAGCTGAGAATTTTAGGAATTGCAGAAATGGTAGAGATAAAAAATTTCAAAGGTGGAACTGATAACTGATCACATTAATAAATAAAATGGTGTGAAAATATTTCATGGCCCTAATTAGTTTTTAAAAATAACTCAGTAATAATGGAACTGACAAAACCCAAGAACTGTCACGAAATAATACACTATCAAAGATTCCTACTGTCACATAAATACTGAAGTTCCATTTATGTAGAAGGTAGTAGAAGAAAACTGAAACATACCTGAAGTAGATAATTAAGATATAAAACTTCAGTGTGGATTTTTGTGTAATGATATTCTTATTGTTGTGTATTTAGTGTATTCTAGTTTATTGTAGTTCATTAAAAATGAAATAGCTTGATCGTGAGTTGCAGTTGCTTGTACTATTTCCTGTTTATAAAAATTAATTAGAGAATTGTTGAACTATTCCTTGATGGCAGAGCTGAGCCAGAAATCAATGCCATTTGATGTGTTGCTGTTTCTTAGCCTTGTTTGCTTTGTGACTCTTGGGTGAATACTTGTTGCTATATCTTTTAAATGTAATGTGGTTTAAAATATTACCAAGATGATAGGGATTCTTAGCTTTGTCTGTTTGTTCTATCTGTTATACAAGAATTAAATATATGCTGTTTGATTTCCTACATTCTTTTTTCTTTTCCCTTCTTAGTATTGCTTCTTATTTCCTCCTATTGCCACATATGCTGGTTCATTTAATAGAGTTATAAGAAAGAGCAAAAGAGAAAAAGTATTTCAGTTCATAAAAAGGCTGGCATGCTCCACTGCGTTCCATTGTTGGGATAACAGTGTGATTGTGGTTTTTTTTAAAAAATATTTACATGTTCTTTTATCTGCAGAAAGCAAAATATTGAAGTATTTTTGTTGTAACTATCTTGCTATAGGTATCAGTGTAGATGGTTGCGGTTTGGCTCTTGCATAAGCTTATTTGTAATAAACATAGATTAATTTAAGAGAAGATGATCTTATTTGGGACAACATTTATGCACTGTTAGCAACTGTAAGATTAAAAAATGTTTTTTTTCTATAAAACAATTTTATGTATTATTATAAAAAAAGTTTTTGAGCATACCGATAATACATAAAGTATTTCTTTAGATATAAAGTTGTTTTATTTTAAACTGATTTCTTAGTTGTTAAAGTGCTGTAATTTAACTCCCTCCCTCCATCTATCCATCCATCCATTACTTGTGTATTTCTAAATTTCTAAAAAAAAAAAAATTCACATCCATTTTTGTTCATATGGATCAACTTGCCATTTTCAATTTCACAGCTCCACTGGGAGGACAGTAGGAAATAAGATGAGAATTCAGCTGGGAAGTCTTTCTATTGCATAGTTTATTGTTAGGAATTATGAGATTTAAATTATGTTTAATTCTTAAGCATGCGTTTATATATGATTAAAACAATGTGCTAGAGTTAAAAATAAGGTACATAGAAATGTAGAAATGAACTTTTTACAATTTTCTTCTGGTAGAGAAATTGATATGGAGTGACAAGTATGAAAACAGTAATCATCCTGTACATTGACTATATGGAACCTTTAAAGCACCCCATAATAAGCAAAATGCCTATTACTATGGCATAAATATAGTGCAATTTCTTTTCAGTCAAGTTGACAGTTTAAATGAATGTTTAGTCTCTGAAATGTACTGTGTCGATATCCATTTAACTGCCACCAAGGCATCTTTCTCTCCAAAAGGGCTGTACATTTTTGATCCTGCCATTCAGAGATTATTGTATCTCTAGAACATTTGTTGTGATTTCTGTAATGAAAACAATTGCCTTCCGCTGCTTTAAGGAAATGTTTGAAAATGCTTTTAATATCAAAATGTAATATAATTAATTACTAAATAGTATTTGTTTGACTTAACACATTGGTGATGAAATAAAGAATAAGTGCCAAATTACATTCGTTGGTTTCCATTCATTTAGACACCTAGCTGTTGGGCAGAAGAGGTATTAGAAAAGAGGTCACATCAGCGTTCAGCTTCATGGGGCAGCGCTGATCAACTAAAAGAAGTAAGTGCTTAACAACTTGGCAAAGAGCAGCAATCCTTCATGTCTCACAGTTAACACTAAATGCGGTTCAGTTATTATACCCATTTTGTGCACTCATGCCCCTGCTTTCAGTCATAAGCTGCTGGTTTTAGGATTTATGTAAATGATAAAAAGAACATTGGGTAGTCAGAGTAGATATCTGGTAAGATTGAGGCACAGGCAGTATTACACTGTCATATGTTAGGAAATGCATTCATGGATGTGTGAAAAATCAATTTACTGGTATAGATTCTCATGGGCAGTATCTGTCAAGGAGTGACCATGATTTAGAGAACAGATTTTCTGATGTTTTGCTGCAACTCTGGCTGGCATTTTCAAAGGCAAAGTGGCAAAGATTTAGAGACAACTTTGTCTCTGATGATGTTAGTCCCAATTGTGAGTGAAATATCAGAAAATATAGCAATAGCATTTAGACTTATATACTGCTTTATAGCCCTCTGAAAGCAGTTTACAGAGTCAGCATATTGCCCACAACAATTTGGGTCCTCATTTTACTCATCTCAGAAGGATGGAAGGCTGAGTCAACCTTGAGCCTGGTGGGATATGAACTGCCAAATTGTAGGCAGCTGGCTGCAGAATTTGCTTGCAGTACTGCACTCTAACCACTGTGCCACAGAAGCTCCTGTGCTCTCTGGACCACTAATTCTGAAGTCCAGAAGCCTGTTTCATTTATTTGCAATATGATGTTTTGAAATTGGAGGAATTAAAAAGAAACAATAACCCATGGTATAAGATCCAAGATCAGACGATAGTGTCTATTTAAACTGCTAAATAGATTCAAAGCTAAAATTGTAGAATGGTGGTAAAATTGAAAGGATTAATAGGGCCAGTGAATATGTGCTGATTTTGTTTCCTTCAGTTAATTTGAATGCCTATTCAAAAATACAATATTTCTGATACCAAGATTGTGGTGGTTGATCCTTTTTAGCAGGTGGTTGTTACCTGGTTATTTTAAAAATAGTTTCAATGGGTTATATAAATGTACATATGAAAATGAACACTGGCTGTCATTTTTTTCTACTAAGATAATTTTGATTCTTTCTTTGTTAGAGAATACTAAGCAGGTATATTTGAGAATATGTTGTGTTCTGCATGAGAATATTATTACTGTGAGGCTGTAATACTTTTTGTGGGTTGGATGTCTGGTAAAAGAAGACAGGTTCAACATTTTGGAAAAAAAAATAAGTGGTTGATAAGGTAGGTAAAAACTCTGAATCATTTTATTACATTAATTCATGATATTGAAATAAAATATGACTGATTCTCAAATAATTTTTTTTTCAGGAATAAATTGAATTCAGACCATTATTAACTATTTAAAAGAGCATTTAATTAGGATTACTATGAATTTTAAGGAACAAACTAATTTGCAACACATGCTTGTCTTCAGAATATGATACTGTTGTTCTGTAGTGTATTACTTAAATAAGAGTATCCCCTGCTCTTTTTATCTCTTTTAGTCTATCTTTTATTTGATTTTGTTTCTTTTCCCCATCAGATTGCCAAACTGAGACAGCAGCTCCAGCGAAGTAAACAGAGTAGTCGTCACAATAAAGAAAAGGAACGTCAGTCGCCTCTCCATGGCAACCATATAGCAATCAATCAGACTCAGGTAAGCACACTACTGGATTGTTTAGGCAGAATATTTACACCACAAAATTAGAAGTAATGTATTTTTAAGTTCTGAATTCCTGTCTGCCAACTAAAAATAATTTATTTTTGTACAGTACAGTCAAACAACAAATAGAATTGGGAAGAAATATTAAGAAATCTCCAGAAGCTATTAAATTTGTAACTGATGTTTGAGTAAAGTTTTGAGATAGTTAGAAATGAGTTTTAGTCATGCACCCTCTATCTGAATCCATTGATCATCCAAAGAGTTCTTATATCCATTATCAAGCAGATTTTTCTGCTTAATATTCCTGTAGTATTGTGATGTTCAGCGTCTTTATCATTTCTTCATTAGTCTAGCACTTGTTTTCTTTATTTAAACCTATCTCAAGAATAACTGGGCAGCTCATTATAGATGAAAAAGTTTTAAAATATCCTTTTTATATGGATAATGCGACCATGTTATTCTTGAAAATCTTTTGGAATTTGTATGAAATATAACTTTTATTGAATGTTTTTTTCAAATAGTATATTCAGATAATATAACTATGTTAACAAAGTCACAGTGATAAATTGAGTTACTGATACCTTCCTTTTCATGCTACTATTTGTAGTTATCTACAAATCTGATTTGATGGCATAACTATTTAGAAATGTGTTACTACAGATTACTAGATAGATTGGTTTTTGTCTTCTCCATTTTAATTTATTTATAGATGTAAAATAGTACATCAGGAGCCAACTGAACTTTCTTGTTTTTTTCTTTGAATGTTTCGCTTCTCATCCAAGAAGCTTTTTCAGCTATGACAAGGACAGTGGGGAATGGAAGGATTGACCTTGCAACAGCTGGTCATTTACATCCTTTTAGAGGGTTGTTGAAGCCCTTGAAGGTCTATCTGTATTCTCAGAGTCACCATTCTGCTCCCGATTCCTGTCGCCTGCAACTCTTTTTCCTCTGGAAATCCATTCCTACTCTCACAACAGTCAAACGATGCTCATCCCAAAGTATAAGTCTATTTGCGATGAACACCCAAGAAACATGAAGTATGAATAAATATTTCTTCAAATAAACACACTAATTTGAATGGCTAAAAGTCTACAGACTTTTAGCCATTCAAATTAGTGTGTTTATTAGAATAAATATTCTCAGTCATCCAGGTCAAGGTTGTCCTGAAGGTGCTTATTCTGAAGGCAACTGGATTTCTGTTTTTTTTTTTTTTTCCTTTCACAACATTTCGTTTCTTGGATGAAACATCTTCAAAGAAAAAACAAGAAGTTCAGTTGCCTCGAGAATAAGCACCTTTGGGATAACCTTGACCCGGATGACTGAGAATCTCTACAGACTTTTAGCCGTGTAATTTGGGATGAACACCCTTTGAATGGTGTGGGAGTAGGAATGGATTTCCAGAGGGAAAAAAGTTGCAGACTACAGGAACCAGGAGCACTACTCAGGTGACCTTGAGGACATAGATAAATCTCCAAGTGTTTCAATGACCCTCTAGTCTAAAAGGATACAAATGATCAGCTGTCTGCAAGGAATATAAATCCTTCCATTCTCCACTATCCTGTCAGAGCTGAAGAAGCTTCTTAGATGAGAAACGAAACATCTTCAAAGAAAAACGAAGTCCAGTTGCCTCCTGAAAAAAAGTACCTTTGGAACAACCATGATCTGTATGACTAAGAATCTGTACAGACTGAATTTTACTCTGTGGTTACATAATTTGTATCAAGAATTTTTATATTTTTTTCTCAGAAAGCAACTAAATCAACCTTAATTATGGAGTAATATATATTTGCTATTATCATGTGGAGATACAGGTGTTTTCATGATACATTATACTGAGGTTGAGCTTAGAAAGATAAGATGATAATTAGACACACTCATGCACAAATTTTATTTCTTGAACCATATTGGAAAGCTGCAAATGTAAAAACCATTATTTTCAGTGCACTTTTGAAGAAAATGCTTTATAAATTAAGCTTGATAGCCTAAAAATATTTTTCTGTATAGATAGTTACATTAAGGAACTGAATAGAAATGTCTGTTATATTAAACACTGTATAGATTTCTATCCATATTTCTATTTGATTTCAAACGTAGAATACAAGGTTTCAGAAATCTGTACTAATATGATTGATCAAAATATTGTTTAATAATTTTATAAACTGTACAGTAGTGATGTTTGAATTATACCCATGGTCCTGCTCAATTGGGCTTTCATCAATGTTCATAATATTACATGCAGCCGAAAAATTCAGTATTTGTCATTGAAATATTTTTAATTAAAACATATATATACTCTATAAATACCCAAATGGGCTTTTATGAAAAAAAATTGATACGATGTTGCATTACTTTAACCCAATGGTGGCTAACCTTTTCAGCACTGAGTGCTGAAATGCGAGTGTGCGCACGCTGGAAACCAGAAGAACAGCTCCCTAATGTGCGCATGTACCAGCGTCGGAAATTGGAAGCTTAGCTTCACTGCATGCATATGCGTGCCAGCCACCTGGTCTGCTGGTTTCTAACACACGTGTGCATGAAGACCAGCTGGCCAGTGCACGCATGTGTTCCGGGGAGCTGCTCTTCTGGTTTCTGGCACTCCCACGCACACAAAGACCAGCTGGGGAACCCTACAGATACAGATACAGATAATCAGAGTTGGAAGGAACCTTGTAGGTCATCTAGTCCAACCCCCCACCCAAGCAGGAGACCCTACACCATTTCTGACAAATGGCAGTCCAATCTCTTCTTGAAAGTCTCAAGTAATGGCTCTCCCACAACTTCCGAGGGCAAGCTCTTCCATTGGTTGATTGTTCTCACTGTCAGAAAGTCTCTCCTTGTTTCCAGGTTAAATCTCTCCTCGTTCAGTTTCCATCCATTATTCCTTGTCTGGCCTACAGGAGCTTTAGAAAACAGCTTGACCCCTTCCTCCCTGTGGCAGCCCCTCAAATATTGGAAGACCTCTATCATGTCTCCCCTGATCCTTCTCTTCTCTAGACTAGCTATGCCCAGTTCCTGTAACCGTTTGTTGTATGTTTTAGCCTCCAGTCCCCTAATCATCCTGGTTGCTGTTCTCTCTACTTTTTCTAGAGTCTCAACATCTTTTTTATAATGTGACCAAAACTGGATGCAGTACTCTAGGTGTGGTCCTACTAAGGCTTTATAGAGTAGTATTAGTACTTCACTTGATATTGACTGTATCCCTCTGTTAATGCAATTTAGGATTACATTAGCTTTTTTGGCGGCTGCTACACACTGCTGGTTCATATTTAGCTGGTTGTCCACTAAGACTCCAAGATCCCTTTCACAGTTAAGAGCAATGGGCAACAGCTTGCATGCCCAGAGAGATGGCTCTGCATGCCACTTCTGGCATGCATGGCATAGATTCGCCATCATGGCTCTAAACCATTTAAAGTTCTTTTTATTGAAGTTGAAATTTTAATTCAAATATATTTAGGTTATGGGAATTCTCCAGTGAGCTGTGACGAACATCCAGCAGTGGGAGGTGCTTAGACTTAGATTGGATAGGCTGGGCTTGATTGATAGGACGCTCGTCCTCCACGTACTCCTCCTTAGCGTCCCCCAAGTTTAGCTCAGCCTTTGTTAGGTAGGCAGCTTGATTGTTCCTTGGTCGGATTAGGAGAAATTAACAGGTTTGAATTACAACTTAATACTCAAATTGGTAATTCTAAATTTTAATTCTAACTCAATTCTAAATTCCTTTCAAACAACATTCCGACGGCGAATTGGCACGGACTGCCATCAAAATACACATTGCCTCCCCAGGGAGCCCTCAGCCGCTTTCGTGGTGATTGGAAGCACAACCACTTGACATTGCAGATTGGCTTGACATCACGAAGCCCTGTTGCTGCGCCGCTTTAAAAGATGAATGGCCAGTTTAAATTGTTGAGGCTTTTCTCTGCTCCCCCGATCAGAACACCTAGAGAAAGAGGGCTTCTGAGTCCAAATTCTCCTTAGATCGCCTTGTTTGGTTAGCTCTGCATCGGCTTATAACAAGAGGTGACGATTGCTGCTACATTTTGGCGCCTAAAATAACTGCCAGCACCATTTTGTTCATATTCTGTTGCATTCACTATCTATTTATCTGGTGAGGGGCCATTTCCCCTCACAAGGCTCTCTTTCTGAGGGTTCAGGGGACAATTACTCCAATTATTGACTTCTTTCTGGGGTTTATTTTCGGTTTCTCTTTTTTAAGTTGGCAGCCGTCACAGAAATTAGCGGCACAGTAACAACAAGCACCAAGGCCTGTGTCTGCCTGTGCAGGAAGCTGTTGAGGGCCAGTGACTACAGGATCACTCATTTATAAATATAGCCCTAAAAGGTATTCTCAATTTGGCTCCAAAAATTTGTTCATCTCATTATCTGTCTGGTAACAGCACAGTAAGTTTATATATACAGTTGCTATGCACAGATATAATTAAAATATATAATAATAAGAATAACTTAATATTATCCAAATAATAATAATAATAATAATAATAATAATAATAATAATAATAATAA